TTACCCAGAGCTGATCGGTCAAAGAAAGAAATTCAATGGAGTGGGAGAATAGGACTAACGTCATTAAGCCAACGTAACTTTGTTCACGTTGTAAACAATTTTGACTTGACTTTTAAACACTGAGAGAACTTGGAGGGGCTCCAAAAAATCGCTAGGCTTCACTTAGGTAGCAGCAATATTTTGGATAGGGTACCATCTCTCTTCTGGTCTCCTATCTGCCTGCCAGGTGATGATGGTCCTGTTCAGAACTATTACAGAACGTTTGAAATACATATTTTTAGCAGAAAAGGAAAGCAGTGAGAAACGATCAAAAAAAAAAAATAAAAAAGAAAAATGAAAAATGAAATCAGTATGTCTGCAGAATGGGTATCCTTCCATTTGGAAAGATGCATTACAGAGGATACTCCCTATGAGGGCGCTGGGAAGTGGTCATCCGATTACTTCAATAGGTCCATCGTCGAAGAGCCTATACAAGAATCCAAACAAAATGATCCTTAGCTCGCATGGGGAAAAAGGTGCATGGGGAATAGTCACACAGTTGAAAGCACAGTTCATGACATATTGTTTTCAGAGAGATGTATACTTACGGCAACTTGAAAACGATTATATGAACACTGAGCTCAAGAAGAACTAAATTAGAGTTGAGAGATATCAGCAGGACAAAACCGAAACAAACACAGGTTCTCAATCCTTGTGAATATTCATTCCCATCTCAAGATGATATTCTTAAACCATCAGGTTTCACTTCTTTTGGCCGTCAGCAATCCCTTTGAAGTTCAACCTGTGGTGCTTTTGTTTTGCAATGGCTACTCAACTGGGGTAATTACCGAAGCCCTTGGAATATGGCTGGAAGTGATACTTTTCGAGGTCGATTCCGCTTTTATAGGAGTTGACCTTTTGCAAAGTTTCTTCAAAACCCATGCTCTGTAGGGCGGAACACAATAGAAGGCGATAAGGGGATCAATGACACATGGCAAGGTTGTAATGCAAATGCTAAGATATTCACTGATGGGAGTTTCCGATCCAGAAGCCAACGCAATAGCAGCCAACAAAGAAGCTGGTACGAAGCTAAGGATCGGGAGCATGGCTTGCATTGTGAGAGCCTGAAGAAAAAAAGACCTAATACTCGTCAAACAAGTATATCAAAATTTTACTGGCCCAAGGCGTCAGATTAGAAACCTCAGTGGGCATTGCTCAAGGCGTAGCTCACAATAATTTTGAGATATATAGTTTCAGACAGATAATGGAAAGGATAGTCAAAACAGTGCAAACGTAGAGCAGAAAACGCGAAAATCGGCCTATTGAGAATAAAATAGGACTCTGAGCAAGTAGCGAAATCAGGTGTTGGACGAAAATGCGACGCACACAGTTGCATGGAAAGGTTTTTGGGCGAGCTCCCCAATTGTGTCAATAGGCTAAGCCAAAATTGTGATTACAGCGCAGGCTGACGCTCACAGTAAATTTTTTCTGAGTTTGTGACAATTCGTCCGCTTTCTTCCATTTCACAAGGTGGATTACACTATTGCCTTCCTTCCTAATGATGCTAAACTTCTGGTAGATCTCGAAAGTAATGTCAGCGTCGCTACTCCGTGAAGCAATCGTCGCTTTGGATTTACAAGCGCTTTTGACACGGTGCATCTACAGACGACTTACAATTAGCGTAACAGGGCAGGTGGTACATTCAACCATAAGATACTTTCGAAAGTTGTGAACCATCGCAGATAGGAGCAATAAACCGAAGAGGCCTGCCGGTTATATAGGGTGCGTCATAATTATGGCGACAGCGTATCGCGCACTTTTTGAACCGCTTTTCAAGATCACTGTTTTTGTCTCTGCGTCTCTCACTATTTTAATGTTGACCTGACCATGCTCAAACTATTTGCCCGCTCAAATTTATTATTGCCACAATGGTTAAGCCATCCTGCTACCGCTTTTCGATCATCAAACTTCATCTCCAAGGAGTCTCGGCGAGCGAAATCCACCAGCATCTTGGTGTACATCGCAGTGTCATCTACAGGACAATTAAACTCTACAAGGAGCTAGGAACTGAAGACGACCGACCCGGAAGAGGATGGCGTGCCACCGTCGCTACCATGGACAATATCAGGAAGGTACGTGAGAGGATTCGGAGACAACCGTCGCAGAATGTAGCGAGAAATGGACATTAGTGAGAGTTCGCTGAGAAGAATAACACGCAAGCTAGAATTGAAGGCGTACAGAAAAATAAGTGCCAAAAACTCACCGATGTTCAGAAGGAAATGAGGAAGGAACGATCAAGGGAGCTGTTCAAAAGATTTGGGAATAGACGACATTAAAGGATTCTCTTTACGGATGAGAAGTTGTTCACAGTAGGACAGGTGGTCAACAAGCAGAACGACCGCGTCTGTGCTGTTTCGAACCCGCACGCGACTGTAGGCCGCTCTTCTCATCGTGCTTCTGCCATGGTTTTTGCTGGAATCAAGGCTGATGGCAAGACACCCCTGTGGTTCGTTCCCGAAGGGACCTAAGTGAATGCTTTGGAAGTTCGCTAAAATTGTAAACGAGTCGCTCGAGACGGTTCCAATAGGGTGGTCGCTATAATTTTGACGCACCCTGTATATAGGAGGAGTGTTAAGGAAGCAGGGCGAAGGTCTGGGTAGCAGCGAAGTTCATTCTGAGCCCAAATTGGCTAAATGAATGGATATCTCACGAAGCTTCCACGCGAAATCATGACGCATCATCTGCACAGTGAGACCTTTATACGGTCAGAAAGTGATTTCTCCAGTGAGCAGGCTAAAAAGAAGAAAAGGTTGACTCACAAAAACTGCCCCGCCGCATCCGAAAAANAAAAATTGTAGTAAGGAATTCCTGTTCATCGACGAAAAGATATTCACAGTGAAAATGATGCTCAATAAGTAGGCCGACAAGATTTCTATAAGGCTTAAAGAAAACGGAGGTGATACAGCGATAGGCTTACTGACCTTCTGCGATGACCTTCGCGAGCACTACCGCCAAGACAAGAACACCGTTTATCTTTGAAAATTCAGGAGTGAAAGTTGATTTGGAAACCTGTTCGATTCCGTCGTGCGCAATGCGACGCTTCGGCGATTCAAACCGGATACATTGTGAAGATGAAGCTCCTGACTGCAGAACAGAAATTGTCTAGAAATTTCGTAAAAGGGGTTTTTTGGCTTCATAACCTTCGATCAATGACCGCTTTGGAGCCCTGATCTAAATCCCATAGATGTCTCGTTGTGGTCAGCCTTTGAGATAAAAGCATCCGTTAGCCCAAACAAGAAGTGAAGTAATATCGAAAATGCCTTGCAAAAAGCCGGGATCAACTCGATGATCTAGCTGCGTGCCACCGTCAATGCCGTCCACCGTCGTCTTTGGGGTTGGGTAAAAGTAGAAAACAACAGATCCTTCTTTCAAAGTACTATTTCGATAGAACATTGGTGATAAACACTTTCCTGAAATTTGTTTGCTTTATTAGGGGTCTGGTATCTTCTCCCTGAACGGCGTGTCGTGCTCGTCGCACGCGACCGCGCGTTGTGAAGGGAAACATTCGAATTTCTGTGGGAGGTTACGGAGTCGCCGCGGAACTATTGCCGCAGGCCCTGGGAACTTGGGAGAAGTTCCGTTACCTGCTTTGATAGCTTTCTATTCATTCTCGGGGATGCGATGTCTGTGTAACCATAATTTTGGCCCACCCTGTATCATTGCGCGACTGGCTACAGTACCCGGCTCGCGTGCAACGTATGCGTCTCGGTGCGAATGGTGCAACCTCTATACTGTCATCATGACTTCTACCTATAAACAGCGGTCCACAGCTTGCAAAAAATGAAGTTTTGACTTTTTATCTACTGCCCAAAGGAGATTGTTCGTAAGCTTACCTTTAGAAACATTTTAGAACTCTGTACTGTTTTCTCGCTGTACTGATGATTCGAGTTGTCAAAAGTTTTTAGTATTAAGCGTCTGAGATAAAGTATAAGAATCGGTGAAGTGATCGCAATTGCAATGCCAATGGATACACAGATCCTCTGATTTAAACTTTCCGATTCGAATCCTCCGAATTCCCCATATCTGAATATCGACACTTCACGGAGCGGAAAGAGCGAGCTTGAGAGCGAACTTACCTCTCTAAATTGTAATGAGAATGTAAGCGTATTGCATCTTTCATGACGGTGTCAAACTGTGAGGGCCCAATAAGCGGGAGAACCTGTAACAAACCGAACTTATTTCCAATATTTCGTATTTTCTCACTTTTTCCCATCAAAGGCACGCTTACTATTGGAACCCCATGTTCAGTATATGTATCCGCAATATTCCCAAAACAAACTTCTTGTTGCCGTTTGGGGGCTTCAATAATAATCAGAAGGTAGAGTTCTTTGGCCAACCTCTCAAACTTCACATTTATATCTACAGGGAGCCATTAAACTATAAGGGTAAAAATGTTATTAGAGGGACTGGACCCTCTTTTCCAACATTAGGTGGCGGACCCAGAGATGAAGGATTGCCCTTCTGTTTTTGCGCCCTTCAATGTTTTGCGGGCCCATAACGAAGCATTCTTAGTAGGAATAATCTGACAGCACATTATCGCTAATACTTTTGAAAGGAAAGGAATCAGTGGTCAACTGAATAATCAGTTCGCCCCCATTTGAAGCTTTTTGCACGAGTTCATCATCTCACCCACCCTGACACTCCTCCCTTCCTAAAGAGTAGTTCGAAAAAACCATACTTCCTCGACTTCCGAGTACTATGACATGTCCGCAGAGACGGTTACCCTTCCTTCTCTGCGCTTGGTTACAGAAGAGGGGTTCCCTGTCCGAAGGGGATGTGGTCGTTTGGGGCGGCCTCTCGCATCGCGCCGCCTATTCGGAGCGCTTTCTGAGGTGAACAACTCGTTCAGGTGATCGTTCAGGTGAGGACGACCCACCGCCTATCCAGCTGAAAGGATAAGGTAAAGGGTGGATAGGACTCATCGATCTAGCTTCCATCAGCTGGATGGCGCTGGGATGCCAAATTAGCATGGTTAGGAAGTTGAATCACCTGGATAAGTTGTCTAGCACACAAACCGCACGAATGGGCGGCGAGATGGGAGGGGCCGAACAAATGACTACACCCCGCTCGAAGCTACTAGATCTCACCAGCACAAATGCACCCGTTTAGAAGAGAGCAATTTGAATTTCCTGCTCCAACAGTCTCTTAAAAAGAGTGAACAGACGTACTGTGTTCGTAGCTTCATGTTGACTAATTTTTGTAGTTATTCTATGTCTGCGAAATATTCCTGACCTTGGACTTTACCACTTACTGGTTAGTTGTAGAAATGCATAAACAAGGAATAATGGTTGCTTTCAGACTTCAATAACGCGATCGACGACCGTCCGTGCGCGCGTTCGACTAGGGGCTGGTTAGCCACTTGTTGACAACACTGGACGCCGATAGATCCCGTGCCAATGTTGTCAAAGAGTGCCTAGCGATATCTTGTTGGTCCGATCCACGCCCGGACGTTCGTCGGTTGTAAAATTGAAGTCTGAAAGCAGCTAATGGAGGCCGATCCCTCAGTTCAAATAGGGGAACGGCCGGATAGTTTGTCAACAAATCGTTAGCATATGACGAGATCGAGAACCGTCCAAGACAAGAAAAGCAGTATGTGTCTGTGAGATGGTCTGAGAGTTGAAGGTGTCGCATTATACCGTCAATCATCAGAAATAGCTCGGGGATGACTCTTCTACGTCTTCAAAAAGCGGCCGCTCGCTCGGAGAGGAATTAGTGAACGCGCTTTAACTCCGAAAAGGAGTAATGAGGGGGTGGGGGTGCGAAAGAGCCAATGGTAAAAAGTTTCAGGAAATGGATCAAGCTGGACCTACAAGTAGTAATATTGGCCAAATCGCAATCATTGCGAAACTCAGAAGAAGCTCTGCTTTGTTCATCTGTCGGAGTTGTAACATTCGATAACGCCAAAATACTGTATGTGCTATCAATAGCTCTATATAAAACATCGATGCTATCACGACGTCGAAGGCGATTAAGCCTGCCATAGGACCAAACATACGAAGTGGACCTTCTGAAAGTATTGCGATGCTTGAACCGCTGGCAATCAATCTGAAATTGCTTTTCATTCAGTAAAAACAGTTCATTATTCGTTCTTTACTTGCAGTTGCACGGCTCACTGACCTTCCTTGTAGAAATGCTGCCGTCAGGGCTGTAAGAATTTGCATAGTGCATATGTTGATCAACATGGCCTTCAAGCTCCGAACAATGTTAGGACTCCTTAATATGAGAGACAGGTAAGTATAAGCGAGGCAAGATGCATCCATCGTTTATCAAAAAGCCCTTGTCTGAATTTTCATCTTTTCTTCTGATGAATCAATAGGATAAAAGATAGTCTTTCGCGTTAGTTAATCCCGTATAGTATGCTCCTCAGCATACGAGTTCCATTCAGAACCGTAGCGGCGTATTGATAGGTATGTGGTCTACATATGATTTGCGGTGGCGAGCTGATGTACAGGGTGCCCCAAAATTATTGGCGCCAAAATTCAGAAATTTCCAAGGTAGAAATAATTTATCAAATTCAGATAACCTGTTATTAATTAGTTGCATAAGAAGGTTTTCTTGCAATATGCATGGTTGCTGATGTGGAACTCTCATTATCCTTCAGATGGAGGAGGCTCATTCAGTGCCACTTGCAATCATTGACGCGCTAGAAGTGGAAGGGCGTTATAAAATTCTCTGGGATTTTTCTAATAACCGTATAGGAGTCTATTAAACGATATAGAAAAGAAGATTGAATCAGAGACAAACCGGGAAAGATAGAAAGGTAGAATGTTTCTGAAGATAGGACTATTAAAATGGTCCGTATGCCAATCGGTCGGGATCCTGGGTGGCCCACCAAAAGGAAGTCAACGGGCACGGTTTACAGGAGTTATCGCCATGGAAGAATGTCATGCAGAAACCTCACTACCATTCCTATCGTATGCTCCAATCCCGATCTCAATAGATGCTGCAGGGCCAAAAAATGCAGAAAGTCGCAGACCCAATTGAGTGATGACACGCAACTCTTCGTCGTTTTCTCTGATCAAAAAATTTGTTACGATAAAACCATCCCTCAACAACCAAAACGTTCGCGTTCCGGAAAGAAACATCCAGCGTGTAATATCTCACAAAAAGGTTGTTATCAGAACAGTAAAATGATGTTTTTCGAGGAAATCACTGGCAAGGGTAAGCCGCTCGTGCTTTCTCCGGTGCAGGCGTGAATATCGATCAAGGCCAATACTAAAACAGCGTACTGATGGAGGTAATGAAGCACTGATCTGCCTCGCTGATCTGATCTGATATGGTCATCCTATTTTCCAGAGTTCGACTTACTNGACTCCCACAAATGGTCCCTGATTAGAAGAGGACCTGTCGAGTTTGCAGTCCCAGTTTGGAGTCCTAGGATGGAAAGGCTGAAGAACGGCTGGGAAGAAATGGAGGAGGATACCTGCGTGCCACATGCGACCGAGTCGAGAGCAATCTTTGACTTTTATCCGCGCTCATGAAGGATATTTTGGAATGCGACTGTAGCATGTTGTAGCACATACTGTTAGCTAGCGTGCATAGAAATTCCATCGTCTTTCGCAGCTGAGAAGTTCCAAATATATTGCTATAAATCGGCGCCTATAATTTTGGGACACCCTGTACAAGTCAAGGTTTTCATCGTGACAGACGAGTCGATACCAAATAACCGACCCCAAAGAGACAGAAGGCTAAGTTAGCTTGGGCGGATATCGATTCGGAATTCGGACCCGTGACTATGCATGTGTGATGAAGCGCCCCTCGTCACTACACTACCTCCTCCTTCTGGTGGATGTAGCGTTCAAAATTCATGAAAGCACTCCTAATAAAGATCGAGATACTATCATTTGAGCGTTATAAATGAGTACATTATGGAAGGCATACCTATATCTGATGAGATATAGCAGTAGTCCGTTCGCGGACGAAGCAAATGTAGCGAAAATAGCGTAGTAGCAATGGACAATGAAGGGATTGAGGTCGTCGTATTCCATGACAAGCCTGAAATTTCTTCGATTTCGTATAATCGCATGTTTCTCAGATGGTTGCAAATGAGTTTCGGTGAACTACCGAAGCCTGTTCATAGCTGAGAGTCTGACCTCCTAGTTGTTTGTGTTGAATTGAAAGCACAGTTTACGATAATTCCGGGTTATCTAGGTTTGAACAAGTAATGGAAGTCATAGTTCAGAACAAAGCACAAGTAGAGAAGGGAACCCAAAGATTTATTTATTTATTTATTTATTTATTTATTTATTTATCATGCACACAGTGGTGCGCCATCGGCACCGGGAACTAAAATATAATAATATGAAAACCTCCAAAAGAACAGAAGAACCGACGAAAAGCAGAACAGAACAGAACAGAACAGAACAACGCCCGCTTTACGAAAAATTCATAATTTGTCAGACGTCATTAAAACACAAAATCAAAAGAAGAGATTTACATGCATGGCACATCCATCACAGCAGAAAACATGATTAAGCTCAAGCAAGAAAAAAGTTAAGAAGCAAAGCAGTGAGGTGGGTCAGCCGGGTAAACGCAACTAGCCGAAGCTATTCGGTTAGTTGCGTTTACCCGGCTGACCCACCTCACTGCTAACCGTTTACCCGGCGGACCAAAGTAGTAGAGTAGATTTAGATTTATTTTTTGTTTTATTTTTTCTATTTGGATTTTTCTTTATTCAGAGATAGAATCCTTTGGAAAAGAAGTAAAATAAGGGGCTGGACGAAATGGGAGGGGTATCTGGACGAGCTTTCCGAACGTTCTCGCCATGGCATACAGCTGGCTGCAATACGCTGCCTGCGTGAAAGGTGTGGGTCCCGGCACGAATGGTGCAACCCCTACAGCTTTGACAACGCTTAAATCTCGTCCGCCTGGAGCATGAAAGTCGGCTAAGCCGGCTCTGGGACCCTTATAACGCCCTATATTATATTTTGACCCAACAGCGTCCTCGAGCTATTCTTGGGTGTCACTGGTTTATGCTAGGAAGAAATCTCAGAAACCACTTCTATCGTGAACTGTACCTTTGAAGGCACAGTTCGCGATGAAATTGGTTTCTGGGTTCTCCCTTTAGGAATAACCAGTGGCCCATAAGGGTAACGGGAAGGATGCTGTTGGGTCCAGAAACACAACAGCTGGGCCAGAGTGGAAGACCCGCTACCGGATCTCCTGAATGCACCGCCTCTCGACCACGTCAGACGAGTGTCGAGGCGATATAGATTGCAAAATTTGCTCTAAAACCCACACAAAATCAGCTGATCGCCGAGTAATCAGGCGATGTTTCCCTCCTATTCTTTTATTCTCTGTTATTCTTTTTGCTGCTGCGATCCCTTATTCAATTTTCTACCACAAGAGGCTAAAAAAGGTGGGCTATTCTACTGCTGTTACTAGCGTTTCTCTTAACTTATGCTTATGAGTGAATAAATTTCAAAAGACTTTTTCGCCTACTGTAGTTAGTTATTCGCATCAGGACCCGAAGGTGCGCATTGAGACACATCGTATGGCTGGTCCAATCACCCATTCTTCTTCACTTTTCTGGTCTCACGCTCGTTCAGGCCCCTTTTTGACCATTTTTCGAAGCCTTTCTCACTCTGAGAATACCGATTCACGCAGTTTCTTCGCCTTCAACGCACTATTTTCCATCTCACCTTTAATTTTTCGTCATAATCTGGATTACCCAATATAATCGTGAGCTGTGCCTTTAAGCTAAAGTTTTATAATCATCGAAGCAAAATTTCAAGAGTTTCAAGCATTTTAAGCACTACTGCTTTCGGAAACCAGAATAGACCTGATGTACAAGACAGGCATCAGGTAATCTTGTGAATCCCTACCGTTTCTTTAATTGTTGGCTGTATTATATTTTTTTCTGCTAATTTATATTTGAATAGTAAAACATCTAGTTGGACGCAGAAATTCCCATCAAGTCAACAATTCAATGAATGATGAGGTATTGCCACCTCACAAATGGCATCGGGTTGAACGAAGATTCTGACAACAAACGAAAGCCAACAACCAACATATCACGAATCGTCGGCAAACTTTGCTTTTGTTATTCGTTAAAATTCTTTTCAAAAGTTGAAACATATTCCAAATTCAATTCTTGGGCTTGGTGTTTTTGTTCCTGCCGTCATTTCACCCACGCGATCCAAAGTCTCACAAGGTTGGTGTGTTATGAACAAAAGATCCCATTCGAAGCCGAAATATTGTTCATAAGTCGCCGGCATCAGGAATAAGGCTTCTACTCTTCAAACACGCTATTTTCCGAAAAAAAAAA